TGTTGGGATATTCTTTTGTTTTTATTTTATTTGTTTGTCATCGCTGTTTATTTTCTAGGCTGATCAGTAAAAATAAGGATCAGAATGCCACCGCCTGAAAATTAGATTTCAGGTGGGGGAATGGGTAGCATATGTACATTTTAAAGGATGGCATTTTGTTAAGAATCCCCAATGAATCCCTTGGGCCCAGGAGTTGGAGGTTGCAGTGAGCTGTGATGACACCACTGCAGTCCAGCCGGGACAATGTAGTGAGACCCTGTCTCAAAAAAAAAAAAAATGAAAAATAAAACCAGCTTATGATCGATGTTTTAAGAGGGCATAGCTTTCATATAAAAAGTCTGGATTTGTTTAAAAAACAAAAACAACGCAATGAGAGAAGAGTAGGCATTAGAAGGCTGTACGAAAATGGATTTTTTAAAAACATGTTTTGGGCTAAAATGCCTGCGTCATGGTGAATTTTGACATCCATGGTGAACTTTGACATCATTTGACGAGCATTTTTAACGGAGCCGGTTTGAGCACCGTGGTAATTACTTGGCTTCTATGCCGCACAAGGTTTCTGGCTTTCTGGTCGTTGGGTATTTGCATAATTCGTCTGGTTACTAGAGAAACGCAGGTTTCTAACAATGAGCCTTGTGACCACCCAGCCACGATATTCATGCGTTGGACGCTCATAATAGCTTTCAGGAAATCAAGCCTGGTCTGTTTGGTTTTTTTCCTTTGTGGTACACAAAGCTCCTGCAGACCCCCCACCCAGTGTCCTCTGACATCTTACGTAACGTCGGTGCGATCATCAAAACGAAGAATTAACGTTCGTGCAATGTGGTGCAGACACGTATAGGGTCTATTTAAATGTCACTGGGCTTTTTCCGGTAATGTCCTTTTTCTCAGATTCAAGATTTCATCCCAGGGACTGCATCGTTCATAACCATCCTCCCTCCAGCCTGCCCAGAGGTCCTCAGACTTCTCTTGTTTTTAAGACCTTGACATTTTTTTTCAAGAGTCGTGCTCAGGTATTTTGCAAAATGTCACTCACGGCTTCCCGGGGCTAGAGCGGGACTGGAGGTTTCAGGGAGGGGGACCACACAGGTGAGACGCCTCTGACATCACGTCCTGTCGGAGGGTGCAGGACACCAACGTGACGTCTGAGCTGGTGACAGCCTCCCTGACCGGGTTAGGGTCGCACCTGTTGAGTGTGGTAATGGGTGTGGAGATTCCTTATACCATTTTCTCTACTTTTGCACATTTTGGAAAACTTTATATGGTAGGGAGATGTTACTACCATGACATAGGAAGTTAAGTCCATTATCATTTTTAGCAAAAGTTTAAGACATGTGAGAGGTAAATGTACTCAGAAACTCTTATTCCCATGCACTAGGTTTATAGTATTGATGATTTACTTTAGCCAACAATAATTAAAGTCCCCATCCAATAAGATCAATGAGCAGGTGGGCAAGAAACATTTTTAATGAAAGTTTCTAATTCAACTAACCAATGAACCACATTCAGAAACACAAGGTAACAGAAGGAAACAGGAAATCCATGTTTTTCAATTCACAGGATGTACTCGGATGCCATGGGGACATTGGCCACAGAGAAAAAAGGGCCCACTTAACAGCATCAGGAAGGCACCTACACTTGCCAATAAAGCGGTACTCCCGGTTTCCTGACTATCCGGCCTGAAGGGCAAACGGAAAGAGGGCGGGAAGGCAATCCCCTGTGAATTTCTGACAGACTGGTAATTGTAGTGCACGGCAACTGCGACCAAGACACCAGCAATTACGTTCAGAAGCCCCGTAACAACAAATACATTGCAGGCGTTGCGCCTCTGGGGAATTCCCACGTACATGCTCCTAAGTGCCGAGATGGTGAGGCCTCTCCCCAGGAGCCCTAGTATGGTGGCAATCAACAAGAGGTGTTGAGAAATACGGATATCCCGAGGGAGAAAGTCATCACTGTAGGTGTACCGATGACAAAATTTGGCTATTCTGATGTTGGCATCACGGTGGTAGATGCACACTCTCCACATTCCCACAAAGGCAAGGCCAGGGGGGGAGACCGAGGGGTCGTCCATGTACCACACTCGCCACTCCGCGAGGCCCATGGAAACTGCACACAGGATACATCCAATGGTGGCAATAGTGAAACCTGTGAATTGGCGATCGGCTCTATTCACGTAGACCATGGTGGCAGCGTGCCCA